TGGGAGCGGGGTAGCCCAGTGGTAGGGCACTAAGCTTCCGGTGCTCAAGGTCCCAGGTTCGAATCCCGGCCCATGGCAGAAAAAATATTTATCCGGTTTCATTAGCCATGGGGCGACCTTGGGGTAGGGAGACCCTCCTGCGGCATACCCAAACTCTATAAAGTGGGTACCCTTATTTAAATAATTGATTAAGAGAGAAGGAAAACCTGGCGGTTGAGCGTGATCCTGGCCCGATCCCCTCCCTGCACAACCGAATGCCTTGAAACAGTACTTTGCCTATATAGTACTGAACCCAACACCCTTCATGAGTTGTAGTGGTAAAGGTTCTTTATTTTATTTTATGTTTTTTTATAACGATAATTGCATTGAAAAAAAAGAAAGATATAACTACCTGTATGAAATGGTGTTTAAGTCATTAAATGTAATTACACCAACAATAATTCTTTAAGAGATAATTTTTTAATATTTTTTCTATAAAACATAGTTACATTTTACGATTTTGGGAGAGGGGGGGGGGAGCTTCAGCCCGAAAGCCCTCCTCGCCCCCGTGGATTCGCCTGTGAACTATCGACAATAAAAATTCCAGTGATACCGACATTTTTTAAAAATAAAAGTTTTTTCACTTTCAAGCACTGATTATGATTTTATATATTATAAATTTTATTACAGAATAAATATAAAAGAAGAAAAAAGTTATTTATCTCTCCTTGTTGGTGTTCTCACTTCTGGTGGTCTTAAGAACACACCGTTGTTTTTTTAATATTTTTGTACAAAACAACCCAACACTATAGAGCTGAGGTGTCAAAGAGAAGAAATGGCCATAAGCCACCATCCCAAAGACACTAAGCTACAAGAAGACGCTGGTTAACAAGGCCATTAACGGACAGTTAGAGGATATAGACACGTCACCATTAGGGCAGGTATACCAACCTGGTTACCGAGGGCCTCTCGCTTTGGTGTTTTTTATTTATTTTTGTTTTTTTTGTTTTTGTTTTTTGGTTGTTGGTGGAGGCTACCAGCCTGTTGACATTCCCGGGGCCTATTTATTAGTGTGTCAAATGGCCTGACAAACATTTACATACCGTCATCTGATTAGGAATCTACCGGATTAGTTCTCCGCTGCCTCCTCGATATCATCCTCCGTCCCTTTACATCTATAAATAATAAAACTCTTTTCACTATGCCTCACAAATCATCGATTGTTTACTCACTATAATAGAATTAAAACTACCATGTATTATGGACTTTTTTTTATTTTTATTATGGGTAAATAAATAAAATAGAATAGTGTGTTGAATAAGATATTGAATAACTAACTCTATCTATTCGATCCTCAAGAATGACTCATATATTCTATATTGGCCTCTTGTGACAAATAACTTGCAATCAGTGGAACAGATCCCTTTTTATCAATTTATTAACATCCGACTAAAACTTCGTAAACAGTTTCGTCTCATCGTAACCTACAAAAATTTTATTTGTGATAATTCCCATAAGTCGATTTCCCAGGGATGCTGACATATTCTGGGGTATTCCGAGATCTTTTCAAATTAAATTAAGAAGAAATCGTTACCAAAGTCATCAAGTTCATGGATAGTGAAAGACTTAAAAAACATATTTGACAGGCTTATAATTAATGATCCTTTGCAGATTTACTATTATTTTTTGTATTTATTAATTTTTTTATTCTATTTTATCTTATTATTTTTTTTTCCATTTCATTTTAAATTCATTTGTTTATTAATCTCAATTCATTTATTGATTCTACTGCTATTTTTTAAAGTTTATTTATTTATACATCTTTTATACTCCTATTACCTATAAATGTCTATTATTATCCTTATTTATTTATTTTATTCTATCAATCCATTTCCTTCTTTATTTAATTTTTTTTTATATATTTTTTTATTTTATTTTTTTATTATTATTATTTTTTTTTTGTACCAATCATCCAAATAGTATTAAGTGATGTTATTTAGTTGATCGGGCGCTTATGACCTGGATGTTTTGCGCCTAGACATCGAAACAAACAAACAAACGTTGTATATTTAATTAGATACCAAAAACTCAACAATGTAGGCTTTTTATTTACATTTAAAGTCCGAACTGTCCATCACCGAGTTCCCTGTCCATAACCGGTGCGTTCAAATAACAAAAAAAGTTTCATTGATTTATGGTAACACATTTTTTTTACAAAATATCGTATAATATAAAGTCAACTATTTAGAGAACATTCATTATTATTTTGTTAATTTGTTGACCGCTCTCTCTATAGAATAAGTAACATTGGTTTCCTACACAACATATATTTGTGATAACGTATAGTAATCAAATTAAGACAATTTTCACTAAAACTGTCAACTGCCTCAACGATTTTGATTAAATTTCATCTAAGTGAAATCAAGCGGTACTCAATATCAGACAGGTGTTATTTTAATCGAATTATTTTGACGGAGCTTAAATCCCACATATTCGAAATTTCTAACAGTAAGGTACCTTAAGAATCTACCAGTATGTGCTTAATATCACACAATAGAAGTAAAAACATAAACACAGCGGGATTAATACTATTAATTTTTTACTTTCACTTACGTATATATGTAATATATAGTAAGGGTAAGTATTGCGATCGAGAAAATTTTAGAATCTGAGTTTTCAACGGAAATACACGTTTTAAGGCCCCTGAGTCCTTAAATTTCCAATTAATTACAACCAACTCATATATATGACTATAATAAGGCCTATTTGGACTTACGGAGTTGAGCTATGGGGCTCCACTAAAGCATCGAATTCCTGTCGTATCCAAACCAAAATCCTTCGTAAAATCCCCAATGCTCCCTACTTTGTTACAAATAAAACCATCCGTAATGACCTTAATGTTTCTTATGTTTCAGATCTGACCCAATCAAGATACCTATCCTGCCATAACGAACATTAGAATCATCCCAACCCTCTCGTTTATAACCTTGCTTCCTCTTCAATTCCTGATAATCCTCCGAGGCGTCTGAAAAGAAGATGACCCGGTGATCTCCTAATGTAGACATATCATTAGAGTGCTACCATTGGGTAGTTACTTAGTAACTGTTTTCTTGTCATTATATCCATATGTTAAAATTGACTGGATGTATTTATTTAATATATAAAAATAAATAAAAATATCATTAAGAAATAATAATTTTTTTTTCTAAATATTTAAAATTCATCGAATCAAGGCAATGACATTGCTTAAAATAATATTTCATTGTACTCGGGTGAAAGAAGAAATGAAATATAAAAATATTTTATGGATATGATTTTTTTTTTTTTACGAGGCTTTATTCGTCCAAATTTGTCAAAAAGGTAATTTCATTAGTATATAGACAATTAGTTTACACTTAACACGCGATTGTCGCTATACTGACACCATAACCTAAATACTATTGGCTAATTGATATGTGAGCCAACAAGACAGACAGACAGACCGAGGACTGTCATAGGCCACTCAACAATAACGAATGATCCTGCTACACAATAGAGGGCGCCTCCCCGGTTATTGCCTATGTAATAAACTTTTTTACTTCCCCACTGCCTCCTCTATTTATCTTATTATTATTTATGTACCATTAATCATATGGAGGCTGCTTCCGGGACCTAAGGCTGCCTCCAATGTTTTAATTTACTCTTGGCTCAAGTCTCGGATGCTCTATGGGTTATGGATTAAATATGATTTTCTATAGCGTCTCACTATAAGAGTTTTCGAATGGGATCAGTATAGCTTCTTCATTATTTCTATTAGTTAAAACAATGGTATATATTCATAAGCCTATGGCGTCGTTAGTCTAACGGTTTTCAATGAGGAAAAAATAGCTCGTTGGAGGAACAAAAAGATGACCTTTGTTTTAGAATAAGTAATTTAAAACTATGTGTAATAGTCCGTGGGACAAATCCCTTTTTTCCAATTATTAACATCCGGCTGAAATAACTTCATCTCATCATAACCTAAAAATATTTTATTTACGAAATTTTCGGAATTGGGGCGTTTTCAATCTGGAGGTCGGCAAACTTTGTCTATTTAATTAGATACTAAAAACTAGCAAATACCCATTTGTTTTCCACTTGGATCATAAGTCAATTCGATCACAAAACCTATAAAAACCGTTGCAATATAAAAATATTTGACCGTTTAGCCTATATAACCTCGTTATTTTGAAAATTTGTAGGCCCAATACGCCAAACAGCTCAATATTTTTTGAGGCCACCCTTTTGCTCGACTTTGAGGTCAACTTATCTTATGATTAAAGTGGAAAGCAAATGGCTATTTACGAGTTTTAGTACCTAATTAATTAGGTACTAAAAACTGACGAACGAAAAAGCTATTTCCATAGCTTAATCGTTCGTGGCACAGAACCCTTGTTATTAAATTATTAACATCCGCCAAAAACTTGGTGAATTGCTTCATTTCTTAGTAATCAACAATTTTTAAAAAATAGTATTTAATTTAAAAATTAAATGTTAACATAAAATTCTCGGAACTGGTGCGTTTTCAATCTAGAGATCGGCAAACATAGTCCACTCAAATAGACACTAAAAATTAATGAACCCCAATTTGCTTTCCACTTGAATCGTAAGATAATTTGGTCACAAAATCGAGAATAAAGGCCACTTTTTAAAGCAAATGGGTATTTGTGAATTTTCAGTATCTAATTAAATTAATTAATTTAATGATAAAGCTCCTGATTTCTGGGAATTTTTTAGATAAAAAGTTGTATTTTAAGATAAGATGAAGCCATTCACGATTTTTTTTAGTTGGATGTTCGTCACGTAAACCATTATGAAAAAAAAAATTAAAAATCTGTAGTTTTCGCTATTAGAAGTCAAAAATCGGGGCTTTTATATAGTACATATTTTTAATTCATGGTAAAATTTATATAATATAGTAGATTTTATTCATAATTTTTTATTCACACCTGTCAAAAAATAATAGTGACATTTATAAAATTTAATTTAAATTAATGATCCTAAGTGTTTGAGATACATAACTTAAAGGGAGGTTTCCAGAAATAATATTTTTAAAATAGCTTTAAGGACGAGCATCAAAACTAGACATGGAGACAATCAGTTATGCCGGAAGAGTCCCGAGTTAGGAATGCACAAGAGGAATGATTCACTGCGGAGCAATAGATCAGCGGGACTACCCCAAGTTTCCCACCGAACCCGGGTTTTTGTACGACCAAGGTCGGGCTTCGGACCATTATTATGGTAAGTCTATCTTATCTATAAGGCAGTTAATCACAAATATATCTGAATTTGTCTTTTTGTGTCGTACCAGCGGTCCTAAGACAAGAAAGGGATGCCTGCCTCGATAGCAATAGCAGCCTCAATCTGAAGAAGAAAATCGAAACCCGGAAGGAAACGAGTGGACGGCTTGAGCAAGAAGAAGATTTGAATATTAACAACTGCATGTAAAACATTAAATTTCAATAATCAAGAAAAGTGAAAGAAGAGAAAGAAAAGTGTAGATTTTATTCTGAAACATTTATCCCCTAAAAATAATTATAATGAACAATAAAAGTGTCATTTGTCTTGAAATAAAAATATTTTATTTATTTATTTATTTAGAAATATAATAATCTGTCACATGGATAATAATTATAGTGATATATGAACATATTCACACCATATATACAGAAAATATAAAATTAACCAAAGTAAAATAACAACTAAATAATAATAAAAAAATATGTACATTAAAAAATAAAATAACCTAAAGATAAGTAAATTAAAAACATAGTCACACCAATATACAATATATACAATCAGGCATGAAATCCCAAGCCAGGCTTCTCCCTCCAATTATAGAAGGAAAAGCAGGACTACAAGAGATCCATGCGCTACTTTCTTAACGGAGTCACTGCTGCTAAAGCCAGTGGAGTTTGAGCGAGAGCGTTTCAGCCACATGCACTCATGTCTTCAGTGGAGAATCTGGCCATTGCCAGAACTCCAAGATACAATGATAATTTCAGGGGTCAAGGACAATGGGATATTAAGGTCATCATGATGTAGCGTTTCAATGGTTAAATAGAACGGAGCATCGACTATTGTTGGGCGGACTTTGCACTGAATGGATTAGATGCGTTTGATGTCAAAAAATTATGCTGTCTCCCAAAGTTGAAGTTAGGTCCAATAGAATTGAGGTCCAAATAGGTCTCAGGATAGTGATTGATGGTACATGAATCTTAACTAATATTAAAATACAAATATTGCAAATGAAATATATAGAAAGTTATAAAAACTAAAAATAATATATATAATTCATTTTTAAAAATTGTAATATTTTTTTCTTACTAACCGTAGTTCGAGCACTAAAGATATTCAACTACTAACAAATTTGGTAGATAAGTGTGAGGGGTCAGGTTGATTGATTGATTAACGTCAATCAATATCTCCCCCCCCCCTCTGACTATGATTATCTACCTTTTTCTATCGGAAAATGTACAACTGGGAAATCCTCATCTTCAGTGCTCGAACCACGGTTAATAACAGAAAATATTACAATTTTTAAAAATGAATTATATACATTATTTTTAGTTTGTATAACTTTCTACATATTTCATTTATAATATTTGTATTGTAATATTAGTTAAGATTCATGTACCATCTATCATTATAATTTTTCATTATTAACCATTATTAGTCGTATAATATTATAACTCCGATTCCATGATAATTCCACAGCTACATACTCATCTTTCGAAATAATCTTTGCACCCGCTTTCATTTTTAAAAAATTCTGAGCACTGATGATGTCCCACATTTTTGGGTTGAAAGGTCGACACTAATAAAAACCTTAAAATGATTGCGTCCTGAATATTTATCACCCACGATATGTAGAACTAACATCCTTCAATAATAGAATGTTGATATGCTACCTTAATAAGTTGGATAAGAATTAAAAGCCATTAAAAATGTGTAATTATAGTATTACGTTAGCTCAGGAAACCAATACGGAAAAAATAACAAAAACTACTAACCCATTCATCGCCTATTTTTTGCTACGAGTTCAAACATTTAATGCACAGAACTAATTTATTTATTATAATATAGTAACAATTAGAAGCGGGTATCGTTGGCTTTAATTGGCCATTAAAACAGCTGTAAAAGCAAGCTAATAAAAATTAATGTCGCTACGTGAAAATTACATAACGCTGCCACAGCTACATACTCATCTTTCGAAATAATCTTTGCACCCGCTTTCATTTTTTAATGACGTTCTTTCTTACAGCCTCTTACTGCCTCTTACCCAGCCTACTTATCCCTCTATCGTTGCTATATTTCGCCAAGTGGTTTGTAATTGCCTGGTGTAATTAATAGTGTAGATGGAGCGAAGATAAAACGCTATTATGAAAGACGGCGCGATATAAATTCATACCACCAAGGCTTTAGATGACTTTTTACACTACTTATATCGTTCTTTATTTTTATACTTGATTCTATCCCATTATCGTTCCATTATAATTGTAGTATGTATTTTATGTTATGTTATTCCTACGTATAATCTTTAGCCACGTGTAATAAAAGTTTAATATAGCATATCTCGCTTATAAAAATAATAAGCTGTTTTCCAAGTCACGTAAATACTTGTCCTCACACACTTGTTAGCAACATAAGAGCAGACTTCGGGTTTGGGAGGGGGGAAAGGAGAGGGGGTTGTTCGCCCTCCCAATAAAAATAGAGAAGGGCGAGAATATCGTTTTGATTCTCCCCCTCCCCATATTATAAACAGGTGTTTGAATAAGAGGTGCCGAAAACAGGTACTTCAGGATACCGAAAAGTGGTACTATACGAAAAAAAAATAATAATAATAAGGCTTAACGAAATCGAAGGTTCGATGCTGATACCATCAATAAATGTCCATATTCTTCCATCCACCGGGCTCGGTATAAACCCAACCAAGCCAAATCAGCTTTAACGCAATCTACCCACCTTCGCTTTGGTCTTGCCATTCGGTACAGAGCATATTAACTTTTTAAGAATTCTTTCGTTACTAAACCCAGCGATTTTACATGCCCATTTTATTCGCCTCAACTTAATCACCTCAATTATATTAACCGGATACAGTTTACGCAATTCTGCGTTGTTTAACCGCCTAAATTCTCCTGTTCACTTGTCCTTTTCCGAATTTTCTGCGCAATACTTCATTTTCAAAAATCCTAACACGTTTCTCACTCCTTAATGTAAGCGGCCAGGTTTCGCATTCATAAAGAACCGGAGGTAGGATAATGGTTTTGTATATTTTCATTTATAAGTTTCGGGACAGGAGGCGAAACCTAAGTAGTTTTGACAAAGAAAAATAACAAAAATTTCCCGTCTTCAGCCTAATCTTAATATCCTTCTCAATTTCGTTTTATCTAGTTATCATAGATCCTAGATACCTAAAATTCAGTGTTCAAACACATTCCCTTCTATATCGATATCATCGAAATTTTTTTTGCACCTAATCATATATTTTTTCTTATCCGTATTTATCTCTTCTTTACTAGCTTCCATCAAAGTTGTTGTATTTAATTTTATTGCTTCCATGTCTTCTCTTAACAGTACCAAATCATCAGCATACCCAAGCCCGAATATTGTTTCACTCAGGTTCAAACCTTCTTCAGTATGGCTCTAATGGCATGTTCTAACGCCAAATTAAATAACACAGGTAAAAGAGAATCAACTTGTTTTGACCTCGAACGAACCTCAAATTTCTCGGATAAATAATAACCGATTCTACCTTTATTGGAGAGTTTTCGTCAAGCACATCCTAAATGGATTAACTAAATTTTTTTGGAATCCCCTGTTCGATTAGAATATTATAAAGTTTTCTGGCGGTCAATAGAATCGTAACCCTTTTTGAAATCTATATACAGCTAGTGAACAACACCGTTGTACTATAATTTTTTTTCTAATATTTGTCGTAAAGAAAATATTTGATCGATAGTCGAACGGTTACTCCTAAACCCACATTGGTAGTCTCCGATAATTTGAATATTTTATAACGGAAGGAGTGAAATTGCTAGTAATAATTATATTAAAATCCGTCATTGGGCCCTTTTTGTGAATCGGAATAAAAATGGATTCTAATAAAAAAATTAATGAAAGACATTATATATATTTTGAAATTAGAGATCATTACTGACTTAATAATAGCAAAAGTGTTAACCCAAGTACTTTATTGAAAACGGGACAATTACATTTTAAACTTTCCTTAGGGGTGCCGAAAACTATGATTTCCCTCGCCCAACCCCACATAATATAAAATCCATCTCAAAGATTCTCAAATTTTAACTATACACCTGTCAACGACGGGTACATCAGCTAGTTGTAAAATAATTGTTGAAAGTATTATATTATAGAAGTTAAGGGGGGAAGGGAATTAGTTTTATTATAATTGAAAAAAAAATGTATTATGTTATTATAATTTTTTTTTAAATAATAGTTTTGTTATTACAATTGATTAGTTGAAATGCACAACTTTTAAATGTGGAACGCGGTAAAGTAGGTTGGGATGATAATCGAAGTCGGAACTGCTAAAGCGGGAATTCTAGACCAATTACTCAAGTATTCATAACTTTGGTTCTACTCAATATGTTGTTTTCATTTAAAGCCTATGTTTTAAGTCAAGCAAACGTACATATAATGTCAAATTTTCAAAAGTCTACCATTAGCCATTGCTGAGCTTACTCTTGACAAAATATCGTTGGACAATGCGGACGTACAGACAAAAAAATTTTATAAAGTGGATTTGGTGTCTGTGATGTATGGAACGGAAAGATATCATGAAACGGATTGATTCAATTCAACGTAGAGACAAAACCTTTATTTTATTTATACAGATATTATTTATAAATAAATAATAAGAAATAATTATATAAACTGAAACCATAAATAAGAGAGTATGCGAACGTCCATCAGTCTCGCTGCAAAAGGAAGGCAAGGTCCATCGGATGAGATTTACAGCTCGCATTTGTTGATTGTCTTCCAATTAAAATTATTGTAAGTACATCCATTATTATATACAATTATTAAAGAAAAGTTACAGAACGATATATTTTATTCTGACATTATATAAAATTACGGTGGGAATGATGAAGTCGGAGGCAGAATATCTATGAAGAAGCCTCCTTTATATTAATTTATTTTATTCGTTTATTTTAGAAACGACATAATCATTTTTATCGGTTTTGTTGGTCATAAACGCACACTTCAATGAAGAAACAACATATATTTCATAATGCATTCCTTGAAAAATCAATTCGAAATATGTATCTCTTCTGGTATTTGGCTGGCCATTTCACAAAATTGCAAAATATTTTAATTATTTTATTATCACGACTAAACAAGTCACTACAACCTTAGATTTTTTATGCCACGGCTTTAATGAACACTATGATTTGACTAATGGCAATCAAATAGTGATGTGCAGAGAAGCATTACTTCCT